CCTCTGTCTGTCTGTCTCTCTCTCTTTCTCTCTGGTGAGCCCACACAACCTATAGCAAAAACAAAAAACTAAATACCTATTTATAACTTTAAAGTGTACGATAGAGTTTACCACCTGTCCAAAACACCTGAGAAAATTGTCATTCTTTCTGTAGCAGTATGTACTACTTTTAATGTTATCACTAATAAGAAGAAACATTTATTTGGTGTTAGTTTTGTGTCAGACACTATTCTAGGAGTTTTTCATTTGTTAAAAATTCATCTGTTTATTGACATGGAAGGTCTTCACACTTTGGTCCACCTCCAGTCCTAGCTGGCCCAGATCATGAGTTCATGTGCGCTTGTACCAGGTCTACTAAGGGAGGTCCTGGGACATGGGTCCTAGGCCTTTTCCATGTGGGTCCAGTTGTGTTACCAATGCATCACCAGCTGGCTCCTATTCTATAAGCTGTGTGTATGTCAATGAACTGTACCTGTAATTCTATTCAGTAAGTACTACAATTATGCTTCTGATTGTTTAGATAAATACACTAATAATGTAGAACACATATATAATTAAGATCTACAATAAATTCTGTAGCACAGAGAGGTTAAACAACTTGACCAACATTGTAAGTGGTAGTTGCATGAATTGAACACAAGGTAGCCAGGTTTAATCTATGGTTCTTACCTGTGTACTTGACTTCTCTCCAAAGGAGCTGTGAATGTGACCAGTAATCCTGTGCTGCTCTCAGAAGGATTGTCTGTGATGCACAATTCCAACTTTTCCTCATTTGACTTTTTAAATTTTTATTTATTGTCATTATTATTATTATTTCAATTTGCTATAGGGTATGTGTGCTAACCTGAGAGAGAGAGAGAGAGTTGAGAAAGCAAGCCGCAATGTTCAGGACTAGAACCACAGTTGGCCATGTGAGAGTCTAGTGCCTTAATCACTAAGCCACCTGCTGGCCACCGTTTGATTTTGTTAAATCAGTAGAGGATTTACAATCTCAAGGATTTTAAACTTTTTTTTTTTTTTTCTGACAGGAAGATTTATAGGTTAACTGTTTAAAAATGTTCAAAACTTTCCATAGGTGTAATAGAAGCCATTTTATGGAATTACAGCATTGAAGTAATTTGTGATGTATAACACCACTAAAAATAAGAACTATTACAACACAATTTCTCTCTGTGGCTGGTCCAGGTTTTGAGCCTTATCCAGGTGACCGGATAGAAGTTGAGTTTTCCATCCACCCAGAAACGCAGAGCAGAAGGGCCCTCTCCGTGAAGCCTCTGAGACACCAGCATGTGTATGAGGTAGTTTGCTGTGTGTTGCACTTGTCATTGTTTCCACTTACCCTTCACTCAGTGACAGTCTGCTTCTCAGGATTCTATCTGGGTGTGCTGGGAAAGCTAAAATAAAAATATTCTTTGCCAAAGAGGGCCCTATTTTATTGAAAACACTATAATTGGGGCCAGCAAGTGGTGTGGTGGTTACGGCGCTGGACTCCCACATGGCTGACCGTGATTTGAGGCCCAGACCTGGCGGCTTGTTTTCTCCTTTCCCTCCTCTCTCTCTGTCTCTCTCTCTGGTCAAATTAAAAAATAATGATGATAACAAATAAAATGAAATAATTCTTTAAGAAAAAGAAAAACACTGTAACATTGAAAGGAAATAATTAGAGAATATTATAGAACACATATATAATTAAGAGCTACGAGAAACTCTGTAGTTTATTTGGGAGGTATTAAAATGTTCTGAGAGCAGCAAGAATAAAGCAAGTAGCATTTCAGGGACTTGTGAGAAAGGATGAATGGAGTAGGACTTGAGCTTACCAGGAACAACTGGGTATGATTTGGGTGGTGGAGACTGAAAATGAGTTTGCAAATTAAATTCACTTTGCACAGTCATAGCCAAGGAAGTCGGGAAAAAATAATAGTCTACATGTCTCCATATTTCTTTCTCATTGAACCCCTTTCACTCTCTCAACTTGAACTGTAGAGTTAATGGCCGTTGTGTATAATAGCTAAAGCAGAATTTCTCACTGGAGATCTGGGCCCTATCCCCAGAGATTCTAATTTGTTCGGTTTGAGGTGGACTGTGGGCACAGATATCTTTACTAAGCATCCCTAGTGTTGGCAGTGTGCCAGCCAGGTTGAAAAAATCACTAATGGGGATAGGATGTCCTGCAGATCAGAGCCTGAAAGAGGAAGTGCAGAGCCCTGCCACAGTGCATTATACTGTTAGTAATCATTTCCATCTTTGGTCACTACAGGTCTGCATTACCAGCATACATGGAAGAAGCGGGGTGGTAGATAATAATATCTTTTTCACCTTGGATTCTCTGAAACTGCCCGATGGATATGTACCTCGAAGATATGACATCGTCAATGCAGTCATAGTGGAAAGCGTTCAGGCCTGCTATATGTGGAGAGCAATTGCTATAACCCCAGTGCACAGACTGTGACAACAAAACGTTTTTTTTTTCCCTGCACCTGTTTTCTTTTATGAACATTAAATATCCTGGTTTAAATATAGTTGGGGGGGCAGCATGGTGGTTAAGATGCTGGACTCCCATGTGGCCAACTGTGGTTTGAGCCTTGGATCTGGTGGCTTGCTTTCTCACTTTCCCTTTCTCTCTCTCTCTCTCTCCCCTCTCTCTCTCTCCCCTCTCCTCTCTCTCTCTCTATAATAATAATAATAATAAATAAATAAATAAAACTAAACAAGTAATAATTTTTTGGGCTATAGAGCATGTACACTTGTGAGAGAGACAAAATGAAAAATCACCTCCAGCAGGGATGGTCAGGCCACAATCCCTTCTCCATTCTTCTCTCAGGATTTGGGGCACACACGCACATGTTCCCAGCATGAGTTTCAAGCCACTGGGTCCAGGACTACAACTGGTAGGCCACATGGGAGTCCAGCACCTTAACTTGTAAGCCATCTGTTCGCCTCTAAATAAATAATTCCTTAAAAAAATAGTTTGGAAAAATAGCTTTGTAAACATAAACAGTTATTTCAAATTGTGAGTTGGTTTGCTAAAAGGAATGTATCTGCCAAAAGGTGTTCAGCACTTTTGATGGCCACTTAAAAAGGTGTTCCTCTTAATCCTTTCTAATAAACTTTTGCTGTGTTTTTCTGCTTTTAGTGGATCTGTTCAGAAAATTAATGTTCGTCTTTCGGATTATTCTTTTAGCACTTTGCCCATTATCATCATTTTTACTGTTCTGGGTTTACATTACAGATCCCAATTGGGATCTGGGAGCACCCAGTCACCTAGTAGTTAGTTATCCACTTTATGGGAATTTATTTGAAGGCATTGTTCCCTAGATTTTAGGTATTCAGTCATTGCTTCACTTCACAAATAGTAATTGCTTTCTGTGTGTCAGGTACTAGGCTAATAGCCTTGAACACAGAGGAGAAATTTGGGGCCCTAAAGGAACATGCTTTCTATTGTACCTCCCTGACTCCTTGGCCATGGAGTAATAGCACAGATATTTTTACTAGTACAGAAAAAAGCTAGTGAAAGTTTTCATTCCAAAGGAACTCCAGACCCACCAAGAATTCCAGAAAAGCCCACCACTGGACATGAGACATAGGACATGGGTTCTCTCACCTCTCCAGTTCACTCCTCGGTTTGGTTGATGTGAAAAAAACATTCCTTTGGAGTACTTGTGGGTTAGTGTAGGACTAATCAGGTGGTGGTTCATTCAGAGTTGCTGTTTCACAAACACTCTCACTTGACTGAGCAAGTCACTTAATTACCTGGGGGTGCAGTGATTGTGGGTTGTGTATTAATTTTCCTCCTCCTTTTTTTTTGGTAGAGGTTTTTGCCTTATAGTGCATGTGCTCACCAGAGAGAGACAGAGACAGTGAGAGGGAAAGTGAGAAATTACCCCCCTGGCGGGGGGAATGGCCACACCACAATCCCTTCCCCATTCTCCTCCTGTGATTTTGGGCACACATGCACATGTGCCCGGCATGAGTTTCAAGCCACTGGGTCCAGGACTCAAACTGCGGTCGGTCATGTGGGAGTCCAGCGACATAATCACTGCCTCTCCCTTCATCTTTTTAAGTAGCAAACTCCAGAGTCCATTTGCTTGTGTCAGGAAGGCCCAGCAGCTGAGCGCTTTGAATGTTTTGCCTCAGGGATGTGTCAACGCTGAGGTTCTAGATGATCATTTCAAAGACAGAGCCCTTGCTCATCTTCCTCTCATCAGGACATCTCAGTGGTCTCCCTAAATAGATCATGGTGCTAGGACCCAGGAAGCAGGGAGTTGTGAGCCTACTTAGAAACCCGTTTTCCACATGTGGGAAGGAAATGACATGAAAATACAGGAACCTGCAACCATGAGTTTCTGGGGCCCCAGTGTTCTTCAGTTGACCTTCCAAATGGAATGCCTTGAGCAGATAGCAGATAGGTGCCCCTCAGCTTATTTAGGAGTAAAGGAAGGAAGAAAAGGAAATAAGATAATTTTGTGCAAGGGTTGGCAAATTATGCCCCTTTGACCAAATCCAGTCTGCTGCCTGTTGCAGTTTAAATAGCTTCATTGAGACATAATTTGCGTGCCACACACTATTTAAGTAACATTTATGCTGAGAAAGGAAAGATACAATGTTTATTAAGCAAAAGAGTAGAGGGAATAGTATGTGCAAAGGCCCGGAGTCAGAAAAAGGGTTGAGTGCATTTTAAAGAATTGGAAGACCTGGAGGGTAGCCAAATAACTGTATTCAGCCAATGAGATATGAGTGTGTGCGGCATGAGTAAATGATTCTGGGCCAGCCCTGTAGCACAGAGCTCAAGTGCTGTGCTTCGGGAGATCCCACAGAGCTGACAGTGGTTGGGTCACAGCCACAGCAGCTTGGAAAGAACACACTGGGCACATGTGTGTATGTCCAGAATCCTGGCAGGATAGAGAGATGTGGGAGAGAGTGTTGTAGTGTGGCCACGCACCACTGGGGGATTCTTTCTCTCTCTGGCAGGTGCATGTGCCCTCTGGCAGTTTAAAGAGAAAAAAAAGAAAAGTTATGAAAGGGAATTAATGGTGATTTGTTTGTCTGTTTTTTGCTGTGCAATAGCCAGAGTGAGAGACAATGAGAGGAAAAGTGAGAAATCATTCCCCAGGGGGGATGGCCACACCACAATCTCTTCTCCATTCTCCTGGGATTTAGGGCACACACATGCACACACACACACCTGGCATAAATTTCAAGAGGCCAGATTCGGGACTCAAACTGCAGTCGACCATGTGGGAGTCCAACACCTTAACCACCACACCACCTGCTGGCTCAATCGTGATGTTTTATTTATTTGTTTATTAGAGGTTTTTGCCTTAGGGCATGTGTACTCTTGGGATGGGGGCGGGGAGAGAGAAGAAGGGAGAGGGAGAGGGAAAGTGAGAAATCACCCCCCGGGGGGATGACCAGCCCACAATCCCTCTTCTCCATTTGAGGTCGTTTATTATGTAATAATTGCAGCAAGCTGACTGATACATACTTTTAACATGAAAAAATGACCTTCATTGAACCAGCAGGTGGCGTGGAGATTAAAGTGCCTGGATCCCATATAGCCAACCCTGATTCGAGTCCTGGATCTGGAGGCTTGAAAAACATCTCAGGCTCATGTACATGGATGCCACAAAATCCCAAGAGGAAAATGGGAGAGAAGGGATTGCAGCATGGCCATCTCACTGGGGGATGACATCTGACTTTCTCTTTCTCTCTGTGTCTCTGTATCTTTCAGGCAAGCAAATGCACTCTATAGCAAAAACTAAAAAAAAAATAAAGTAGAAAAAGACCTTCAAACACACACATACACTCTGCTATGGTTCATCATCAAGATGGACTAGGGCAAGAACAAGAGAATGATAACTAGGAGTCTATGCAGGGTGCAAAGCATGATTATTAACTATAACATCACCAAATGATGGGCGATTAGCTTACAATTTTGTCATTGAATGTAAACCAGGCTGATATTACTGGTTGCCTTGCTCCAGGCTTTTTTTTTTTTTTTTTTAAGAGATTTTTGCTATAGGGCGCATGCACTTGCCAGGAAGACAGAAACAGAAAGCAAGAAATCACACTCCCCCCCACCACCCCAGGGGATGGCTATGTCACAGTCCCCTCTCCTCCATCCTCTTCTCAGGATTTTGGGAACTTGCCCAGCGTGAGTTTTAAGCCACCAGGTCTGGGACTTGAACTGCAGTCGACTATGTGGGAGTCCAGTGACGTAACCATTATTCCATCGACTGGTTCTGCTACAGACTTTATTATAAGTCTATTGTACAAAATATTTCAGCTTTTCTACATAATTATTTATTATTTTTTTCCAAAGTAAGGTAACAGCACAATGCAATGGCAGAAAGAAGTGCATTGATAATCTACCACATATATGATCTTAATTTCTGGCTTAAAGAAGCCTCAATCTTTTCCTCTTCTTAAATTTATTTAATTTTATTTATCATTATCATTATTTTAAATATTTTGCTACAGGGCATATGTGCTCGCTCGCCAAAGAGAGACAGAGAAAGAGAGAGAGAGAGAAAGTGAGAAAGCAAGCCACCAGATCTGGGACTCAAACATGGTTAGCCATGTGGGAGTCCAGCCCCTTAACCACCACGCCACCTGCTGGCCCCAGTCTCAATCTTTTCTAACAAATTTTTATTCCATTCGTTAGTGTCAATGAGATGTTGGCACTTAATGTTATATTTTTCCCTTTTGTAGAGCAGGGGAATTATTCTATAAACAGGGGCTGTTGTTATGATGGTTCCCACTTTTTAGGGGTTTTTTGGAAATAATATTTATTTATTTAATATTTATTTGTTTATTTTGGCATAGACTCTAGGGGGGCATTTGAGACTATCTAAGAGAGAGAAAATTATATTGCTGTATCTTGCCATTGTGTTAGTGTCTGAATTCATGTTTTTATTAAAATGTGTGATGACATTTAGGGATTGTGCAATTGTAGTTTATCATTGATTCGTATCTATAGGTTATTGTTCCAAATATCTCCTGTGTTTTGGGGATGTGTGAAATTGCAACTGAAATTTATCACCAGTGTTTTCCGAATGAACTGAATGAAGTTTTTGTCGGGGGAAAAAAACACACAACTCTGTGACTGATGTTTGGTGAAAATAAATTTGGTGATGATTAGTCAGAGTCAGGAGACAGGGGATAAAATTGTTAAAAATGTGTTGCTAAGTCCAGTATCCATGAAAAGGATGGATTTATTAATGATGCTACTCACTGTTTTTAGCTCAAAATTTTGTAGTCATGATCTCCAAGCATATTGTTGGGACCATGAATTGATGCTGCATTTCTTTTAAGCAGACAAATGTATTGTGTCTATTAACAGATGCTAAAAGTAGCCTGAAGATTTAGAAACACAGTAAAAATATAATATCATTCCTGATACAATCTCAAGAATTTGACAAATAAAATTGTAATTTTTTTATTTTGAAAATT